ATTTCGGAGACTTCTAAATTAAAGTTGGTGAATTTATATTCATTCTAGAGTCCCATGGTGATTGGGAATATGACATATATTTTATTTGGCCCGATAAAATAAAATATAATTAAAACAGTCCGAGAAATACAACTTTCGGGGCCAAATGTACACTTCGGAACATAATGGGATGACCTCCCACATGAGTGGCGGCCACCCCATGTTTTTAGGCTATCAATGTTGACCTTTGTGAGCTTCAAAACACGGGGGAGTGGTAAGAGGGGGCTGAGAGGATGTATTGAGCAAGAGGAGACATGAGGTGGACCTCCATCCACACTCACTTGATCAATGAGACAAAAAGACTATCCCTACTCCTCTCCCTCTCTCATTTTCGACCAAGCAACCTAAAGGCAAGATAAATAAGCTCTGCAACTACTATTCTCCATATCCAAGTGAACTCAAGCTAACAAGGAGCTCAAGGAAGAAGAAAAGGTTGCAAAGTAGAGCAAAACATTTAGAATAAAGGTGAGAACCTCTTTAAGGACTTTTCTTCCATCATTTGTTTATCATATGACTTATATATCATATGAAATACCCCTAGGATTTTTCTACATGTTTAGAGGTGTAGAATGAGGGGTTGGAAGGTAGTTCTAAGTCCATGAACGGTCTTAGACGCCAAAGTGGCCGGTTCGTCGGAAAATAACATTTTAGAGGCTATTTGTATTGATATGGGTTTTGTAATGATAAAACCTTGTTAGGAACTTGTCTAAGGTGTTCCTATTACTTTCAAGAAGTTGAAATACTCACCGGAGTTATTGCCGGAGTTCATCAAAGTTTACCGGAGTTTCGCCGGAGTTCAACCGGGAAGAGTAGAACTTCTTAAAGCTCATTCGAGGTGAGTGGATGTATTAATGTCTTGTAACTCTTGGGTTAAGTATGAGATTAAATAAGTAAATGTTATATGTGTTCATAATGATGTTCAAAATGGTTTAAGCACGTGATTAACCAAGGTGATTAAACTTATATGAAATGAACCATAATGATTATGCATGAAAAGTGATAGAAAAATGATATAAAAACATATGTGATGTTTTGGATGGGCAAATGGCAAATATTGATTGTTTAAGACTTAATACATGTTTGGATTAAGTTTCGGATCAATCAGAGTCGGTTCGGGCGGTCAACGGGTCGTTGACCGCAAAGAAGGAAGTGGACCGGCGCCGGTTTAATTTGGGCTATAACCGGCGTTGGTTTGAGTACGGGCAACCCAATTAATAAATTTAATTATGAACCAGCGGCGGTTATGGTTGAACCGACGCCGGTTTGGTGCTGTTTTGCCTTTATGTCGATTTACGTGCATGGTTTTGCATGGGTTGTTATGCTTAGGCTATAAGACTTGGTTTAGTCTTGATAAATGATTATAAAATAGACCCTATCTATGTATGATAAGTGGTAGATTATAGGAATGGATATAAGATGGTGGAGAACCCAAGGACGACGGTACTGTCCTCAAAACTCGGTATATAAATGGTGGAGAACCCAAGGGCGACGATACTGCCCTCAAAACTCATATGGTGGAGAACTCAAGGATGACGGTACTGTCCTCAAAACTTAAAAGTATAAATGGTGGAGGACCCAAGGACGATGGCACTATCCTCAAAACTCATATGTATAAATGGTGGAGGATCCAGGGACTAAACCGTCCTCAAAACTCGGAATATGAATAGATTTGGACAAGGAGGAGTCCTATACACTCACAGGTATATGGGTGGACTGAGATTTAAGTCAAGGATGTTGACTACTATTATTTTCCCAAATAAACAATGACCTACGGGTCGAGTATTTCTAAGTGTATAAATATACTCATATGTATTTCATAACTTGGGGGAAAGGATTATACGTGTATGTATCACCCTATGTTTGGGTCTTATACTTGAAACGTTAGTTATTCTACATTTAGCTTGCTACTCGCTCGGTATTCGCGTATTGACCCCTTCGCCCCACCATCATTTCAGGTTGAAGCTAAAGCTTGCAATCCGCACCTTGCTCGGCGGACTGATCTAAAGGAAGATGTGGTTCATGCTTCCTTTATTTTTTAAGCTACAGACTATGATCACAGATATTTATGTAATGAATACATTGTTTTGGGCCCGCGAGCCTCCGTTTTGGCCATGTGTGGCCCACGATTGATTATTGAATATTTCCGCTATTCATTCGATCTAAATTGTGATGTTGTTATGTATGTTTATTTACTGAAGAAAGGTATGGACTATGTTCATGGACGTCTTGTATGATTAAATCACGTTGACTTGCGAGTGACGTCACTTGGTCATACAACGGTTGTACACATGCTTAGATGCGGTATGGGGCGTGATAGACTATTATGCCACTGACACTTTTGACACTCGACTTTGATTTTTTCACTTTTAGCCCCTCGACTATTGTGTGAAAGACACTTTCGGTATCTGTCTTTGGAATTTCCACATTTAGTTCTTCGACTTTCATAAAAGTGACACTTTTGATTTTTCAACTTTTAAAAAGTGACATTTCTAGTCATCCACTTATTGTGTCAACATCACAGTGAAATGACTAAAACTTTAAATTTGATAATACTCAGTAAACTAAATGTGTGGAAGTTTAAAGTTGAGGACTAAAATGTCTCTCGCACAAGAGTTGAGGACTAAAAAAGTAAAATTAAAAACTGAGTACCAAAAGTGCAACAACCACAATAGTTGGGGTCGGGGGTCGAAATTGGCAAAAAATCAACTTCTAATAACAGCCGCACATTCAAAATATGATCATCCCCATGATCATTTGGTGGTTGCGGGAGCAAATGGAGTTCTCGATCTGTTCCATGATGGTTAAGCACTTGAAACTCTATGTGTTCACTCATAAGCTTCAAAGTCGTGTTTCGACATGTTTCCAAATACAAGTCACCTAAGCAAAATTGAGGAAGCGGTCCAACTCCCTAGTCGTCGACTCACTCTCCCATATGGGAGGTCCCATATTCAAAATTTCATGGATGCAACTTCATTCCTATTTAAGTTTACACGTTAAATCTCTGCATGCAAAATGATTTCATGCGAAGTTTAGAGAAACAATAACTTTGCATCTAAAATAGATTACATCGTTTGGTTATATGTATAATTTGAAGGGATTGCATTTAAAGGCATTTATAAAGAGCATTTAATACTGCCAAAAATGTTACTAATGGCTTTTACAAAGACAATATGACGTGATTTAAACTTGGACAAAAAAGAGAGAACTTTATTGAACGGACAGAAAAGCCTTATTCCTTCGCTCGCTCGCAACACCGCTCCTCTTTCCCTCCTTTGCAGCACCGACTCTCCTCCTTTGCCACTCTCATCATCGATCATCGCCCATCTTCTGCTACCAACCAGCGCCACCGATTCACGCCACATCCACCTCAAATATCACCTCACCATTCCACCATGCATTTCATTTCCTTCTCCTTTCTCTCAGGTGGTAGTGATGGAGGGTATATGAATATTCATCGGTTATGGTTGACGACATCCAACGATGTGAATAAATCAACACGAATTGCAGATGCGATGGCTTCAAAGCAAATCCGATCGATGAAGGCAATGAATCTGAGCGGCGAAGACGGCAAATCCGCCAGTGGCTAGGGTTCATTTATAGTGAAGGGCGAGTTACAGGGATTGCGACTAGGGTTTGACGCGGGGGGAGGGGACTGATTGGATCTGGGCTGGGAACATGGGAGGGGTGTTGGGGTGGGGTGCTGGAACGTGGGGCTAGGGAAGGGCAGGGCTATGTACGAGTGTACAATCATGGCGGTGGGCGATGGCGCCGGCTGGTTTGTTTTGGGCCGTGATTGTGTAGGGGTTGAGGGCTGGGGAGGGGGCTGGTGGGTTGGATAGGGACAAAGAGGGGGTTGGTGGGTTGGGGAGGGGGCTGGTGAGCTGGGGAGGGGCCGGTGTGGTCACAGTTAGGGCAGCGATTGTCAACGACAGTGGTTTCCGGGTGTGTATGTGGGGCTGAGTGCGAGTGTGGGAGTCGAGGTGGCGGCTGGTCGGCCGCAATGTTGGCAACAACAATTTCATTGAGCGGAAACGGTCACACTAAAATCTAATGTCAGCGGCAGTGACATTTGTATGACCGTAAGTGACACTAAAATCTAATAGTGACATTCGTAAGTGACATTAAAATCTGGTAGTGACAATTCACAGCGACACAGAAAATCGCAATGACAATTTTTTTTACAGTTATATCATGATTTTCCAAATATGTGTGACCTTGTTAGTCACATTTTTGTCCATATTAAAAAGTAGTCGCATTTTTGTCCATATCGAATACTAAGCACTTTTTAGTAATATTTAAGGAAAACTCCCAAATATTTTACATTCACAAAAATATTTTACATGATACAATACATGATGCTTTTAAAAAGTGTCTACGGTTTACGTTAAATAATCAAGCCTCTGGTGTATCCCTTTTACATGTCTACGCTTCAAATGCGAAAATAATTATTTTACATTTTACCAAATGCCACCTAAACCAATCACCTAAACACAATGTTTAATACTACGGACTACGGAGAATTAATTTTGAATACCCACTGTTTCATGTCACATCATACGGAGTATTTTAATTCATAATGTATCAAATGTCAAACACTCGAACCTTTCTCAGTAATTACATTTTAAAATTAATTAGTTCAGCAAAAAGTATGCCACCTAACATTCTACAATTATTTTGCTCAAACTTTGGCGGTCAGGATATAGGATAAGGATTATGATCCAGTTTAGACAAGAAATTAGGTAGATTAAAAAAAACTCTGAATCTCCTGCATTGTTCAATTTATTTAAGTCCGTCTTTTTTTTATTCGACAGTCTCACACTCTCACGGGCAAGTAAAAATCAACAAAGAAGTTCTGACTCACAGTAATTGTAAGAAACCCAGAATGGAGGACGGGTTTCTGTTGCTGAAGGAGAGAGAAGAGGGTGGTGGGATAGGGTTGGGGTCTGTTTGGGCGGAGGTGAAGAGGTTAGGGTACTTGGCAGGTCCAATGGTGGCCGTGACTTTATCTCAGTATCTATTACCCATCATATCTGTTATGATCGTTGGGCATTTGGGTGAGCTTTTTCTCTCCAGCACCTCCATAGCTATCTCTCTTGCCAATGTCACTGGCTTCAGTTTTCTTGTGAGTACACATTCTTTTTCATTAAATTCTTGTGTACAAATTTGACTTTGCACCTAGTTTTGAGTTTGAATCCCATTTTATTGTATAAATTAGACTTTGCACTCCGTTTTTTTAAAATCTTTGTATGCCCACTCGTTTTTTGAAAACATTTTTATTTGCACCCAATCACGTATGAAAAGATAAAAATGCCCCTCCATTAACGATTTTGTTGGCCTTCAACATATTCCCGATTGAGGGGCATTTTTGTCTTTTCATACGGGTTGGTGCAAATACTAAGGTTTTAAAAAATGGGGTGCAAAGTGTAATTTGTACAATAAAATGAGGTGCAAACTCCAATTATCCCTTCTTCAAAAGATTGCTCTTCCATTCATTTCATTCTTTGGTAGTTAATCTTAAGGGGGTGTTCGAGATATGCCTTTGATTGATTTTAAAAGATCATGAATTTTGAAATCCAAGGGGAGTCTACAAGATTGTGGTGGACTGTTTTTGTATATAGAAATATACCGAAATCCAGTAAAATCCGTGCAAATAAGTAACAACAGAAATCCACGGAATTTTTGAGGACACTCTTATTTTTATGAATTCCACAGAAATCCAAATCGGGGACACCTGAATTCTGACGGAATTCTAAACTCCATTAAAATCCTAGAGAATCTGAATTGTGGACACCCCTTAATGTGTTTGTTGGCCATAATGCAGTATTGCAGTATACTTCAAGGCTCCGTTTGATTGTATGCAAATAAGTTGATGTAGAAAATGTATTTCTTTGCAATCCCTGTAATATATTGTACATTGAAAATGTTTTTCTGAAGATTAAGATGTTCATTATGTATACATCATGTTTATTCCACACAAAAATACAAAAGGCGAAGCTGTTTCATGAAAATGGCTTCCATTCTTAAAATGAGATGTTATTTTCAACAAAAGTTTCTATTGATTAGTATTGGCACTCATAGAGACAGTTTCTAGGAAACTACTTTCCTATAAACAAACAGAGTCTTAATTTGAAAGTACGATTCATTTTCATTTTCATTTTCATTTACCCCAGTGCCTCAAAGGCTCCCACCTACGGTGGGGTAAGGGGGGGTCGGATGTACGCAGTCTTACCCCTGTACTAAAGCACAGAGAGACTGTTTCCGGATGACCCATAGTGAAAATCCCGTCCAAAATTGCATGGACTGACTGCTTCTTCATGACAAAGAAGCGCAAACAGTTTAGTGAGCCATTTTGCTTTATTCCATCATAATCTCAAGCCAAAAAATAATGAATCTTTGGCTCCATTGCAAATGATGGAAAATTGAAAGTACGATTCTTTCAAAAAATAAAAACTATACTTATTTCTAAACTACGACCTCCTTCATCCCAAATTAACCTTCCTGATTGTTTTTTGCATGGGATTAAGAAACTAAAATTGTTTGATTGAAATTTAGTTCGGAAAAAGTGAAATCCTTTTAAGATAGCATATATGCTATACAACCGTACCAAAAGTTTTATAGCTCATAGCTGGTTATTCTTTTTCATTTTATACTAAAATTGATTCAGGTATGTAACATTATTCATTCATTATAAACGTGGCATGGAAAACTCAGTTGTTTGTAGGAGAAAGATTTTGGATTTTCCTTTTTGTTAGCTGATAGAAAAGACTGAAGTGTCTTTTGGTAGAGCAATTTTTAGTACATTCTGTTAGAAACACATGCATACCAGACAGACACATTGATAGAGAGCAGGAAGAGCATGGGGCGGGACCGGGCTTGGGCTCACTTCCGTGGGCCAAGTTAGGGCTGTCGTTATAGTTTAATTTTTATTATTAAGTTAATGTTATGTTTTAGTTTGAGCTTATTATTAGTAGAGTAGTTAGTTGAGTTAATTTGGGCTTAATTAAGGTTTAATTAATATGGGCTTGATTAGGGTTTCTTGTAGAAGGCTATTTATACCCCTCGCCAGGGTTCATTCTTATTATCTTGGAATAAAGTTAGAGTTTAGCTTTTTGTCTTTGGGCAACGGTATTTTTATCGTTGATTATCTGGGCAACGGTTCACCCCGTTGATTTCTATTTTTCTGCTACATATCAATTGGTCCGACCTGCCGGATCTCGTCCCGCCGGAATGACGAGATCAACCAACGAACGTTTATCAGAATTGGAGGCTGAACAGGCCCTAATCAATCAAAAACTTGACACGCAAGGACAGAAACTTGATCTGCAGGGACAGAAACTTGACACACAAGGTCAGAAACTGGAAGAGCAGGCCGCCCAGCTTGCGGAAATCGCAGCCTCTCTTGCAGCAATCGCGAAGGCCATGGTGCCGCCGCAGAAATCTCCCATGGCGACCGTCGAGAGTGACTCCTCCGGCCACGTCGCATCTGTCTTCTCTGATGATGGCAGACTGCGCACCGCAGCCACAACGCTACTTCCCTCGTTCGATGGCAAAGACCCAATTGGGTGGTTGGCGAGAGTGGAGCAGCAGTTCGAGCTCAACAGGACCCCACCAGACAGACAAGTTGCAGCGGCTAGGGTTTCTATGGAAGGGGCTGCCCTCTATTGGGTGACGTGCTTAAAGGCGCGCAACCTGGCATATCTTGGGAGGAATTTAAGCAAGCCTTGGTGGCCAGATTTGATTCCCGATATCAGGGAAACAGGTTTTAACGGCTGTCCGGCGTCAAACAAATTGGGTCGGTGGAGGAATACAATACCTTGTTCGTTCAATTGGCTAGCCAAGTTCCGGGATTGACCGACGATCATTATTTGGGCTACTACATGAGTGGACTTGGGGAAGCAATCCGAAGTTCGCTGCGCTTATTACGGCCAGAAAACCTGGAGACAACCATGGAATTAGCTCGCGATGTGGAGCATAATCTGTCCGTCCAAAGTGGAGGAAGTGACAGCCCGAATTATAATTCTGCAGGGGTACGTTCCAGCAGCTTTTTAATGGCAAACACGGGTCCTCCGTTGACTGCCAATGGTGGCAGCTTGCAGGGATCAAGGGGCAGCTTTGCGAAGGATAGTGGACAGCCTCCGGGGACGAAGTCAGGGCTGTCCGGGCAGCCTACGACACGCTCTCAGTTCACTCGTCTTCCGCCAAAGGAGTTCGCAGAATTGAGGGCGAAAGGATTATGCTTTAGGTGTAAGAAACCATTTACACCGGAGCACGACTGTCCCTTTAAGCAGCTGCGGGTAATGATAGCCGAGGAGGAGGAAGAGTTAGACCTCCAACAACATGAGTACTGTGAAATAACCGGCCAGGAAAGACTTCAGGAAAGAGAGAAAGGATATTTTCCAGTCTATTCTATGTCTGGGAATTTCAGCTCCCCATCTGTCAGCTTTCAACCTTGAGGACAAGGTTATTTTGAAGGAGGATGGATTGATAGAGAGCAGGAAGAGCATGGGGCGGGACCGGGCTTGGGCTCACTTCCGTGGGCCAAGTTAGGGCTGTCGTTATAGTTTAATTATTATTATTAAGTTAATGTTATGTTTTAGTTTGGGCTTATTATTAGTAGAGTAGTTAGTTGAGTTAATTTGGGCTTAATTAAAGTTTAATTAATATGGGCTTGATTAGGGTTTCTTGTAGAAGGCTATTTATACCCCTCGCCAGAGTTCATTCTTATTATATTGGAATAAAGTTAGAGTTTAGCCTTTTGGCTTTGGGTAACGGTATTTTTATCGTTGATTATCTGGGCAACGGTTCACCCCGTTGATTTCTATTTTTCTGCTACATATCACACATATAGTTCATTTGTTACATTATAACCTGTAATTTTGAATAAGAAGTGAATAAGCAAAGCAGTAGTGCAACTGTGCTAGAGATTTTGAGGAATGTAAGTAGTGTGTAGACAAAGGGCTCCAAACATGATCCGATCTCAATTGCCATAAAATTATCTTAGAATCTGACATTCTCACACCAGAAAGATAAAGAGAGAACGATGGGGTTAATAAGACCTTCGGTTGAACTAGCAAAGAAATAAGATTCAATCTTATGGTCCTGTTGAATGATTTTAACCGTCTAACCCGATCATGAATTTTACAATTTAGTTAGTAACAGTATAGTATTGAAAAACAGAAGTGAATAGATATTATAACTCCTTCGATTCTGACATACTCTGATATTCTGAAATATAAAAGCTCTGTATTACTAACTATAAGTATCCTGTGTATCTTACGATTAATATTTTTTCCTTCTAAACAGTTAGGAATGGCAAGTGCTCTGGAAACACTTAGTGGGCAGGCCTACGGAGCCAAACAGTACCACAAACTTGGAAAACAAACATACACTGCCATTTTCTGCCTTTTTATCGTATCCATCCCCCTCACAATCTTGTGGACCCAAATGGGAAAAGTGCTAGTCTTCATAGGCCAAGATCCTCTTATCGCAGAAGAAGCTGGAAGATTCTTAAAGTGGCTCATTCCGGCCTTATTCGCTTATTCGACCTTACAGCCTCTCATAAGATTTTTTCAGGTGCAAAGTATGATCTTTCCCATGCTCATGAGCTCATTCATAACAGTGTGCTTCCATGTGGCTCTATGTTGGGTGATGGTTTTTAAGTCTGGCTTGAGTAATCTTGGGGCTGCTGTCGCTATTGGTGTGTCTATGTGGGTGAATGTGATAATCCTATCTTTATACATGAGGTTCTCTCCTGCTTGTGACAAAACTCGTTCGACTATTACTTGGGAAATCTTTCATGGAGTGAAGGAGTTTTTCAGATATGCCGTTCCGTCAGCCATCATGATTTGGTAAGCTGTCCACCTTCTCCTCACTCCCTGTCGTTATATTAAGCGTAATACAATGTCATCACTACAATGTACAACACATACCCTTATTGCCCCATGCATAATGCTATGTATGCTGAAAAGTACTATTGAGAGTAATTTATTTTTGAGAAATTTCTATTCAACCTTTTCATCGTAGTCATTCAGATTCCAATCTCTGGCCTCTCATTTTTAAAAGTTATTCTATTGAGTCCATCATCCATGCCTCCATGGCATTTTATTTTGCTTTATTAAATATGTGTACTTTTCCATGCTTTTGCATTGGATGGTATAATTTCTAAACTATTCTTTTAAGCCCCTCTCTTATATTTAATTTGATTGAACCATGCACCTTTTGAACCTATTCACCTTTGTATAATATAAAGCCTTTTCAAACTTTTGGTTTAATGTTGTGTTTATTGTCAAATTCAGAACTTGAAATGTGTTTTGGTCGATTATTTGAGAAATAATAAGTGGTTATCTTTGACCAGGTCTTTTGTAGCTTTGTGCTTTATTGCCAGGATGGTATTAAAACAGTGAACTTTAAAGACTATTGTTGACTTCTGTCTGTCTCTCTCTGGCAGTCTTGAGTGGTGGTCATATGAGCTACTTGTGATGCTGTCTGGTCTACTGCCAAATCCACAACTAGAATCTTCAGTTTTATCTGTATGGTATGTTCAGCTTCACAGAATATTAATGAAAACTGTTAATTTATTTACTAAAGGCATTAATATCACTAACTCTGATGTTATTTGCCAGCCTGAACACTGTCAGCACAATTTTTGCAATTCCATATGGGCTTTCCGGTGCTGTAAGGTATTCCTAAGCTTCAATCAAATCCCCAAGGCTATGTTTGGTAGCCGTGATCGGCTTATTATGCTTATCACGGAACTTTCCTCTTATTTGGTTAAATGGATATTACCAAACATTGTGAAAATTCAGCAGTCAGTCATTTCAGTTGAATGGCCCTTACCAAACAGGCCCTAAAAACAAAACTAAAACCGTTGTCATCTACCAAAACATTCCTCCAAAATTACAACCATTATTTTTGTTTGCAGCACTAGAGTATCTAATGAGTTGGGAGCGGGAAACCCACAGGGGGCTCGTTTGGCTTTCTTGTGTGTGATGCTCATTTCTGTGTCAGAGGGTGTTATAGTAAGCGCAACCCTCTTTGCTTGTCGGAATGTATTTGGCTATGTTTTTAGCAATGAGAAGGAAGTGGTGTACTATGTTGCAGATATTGCCCCTCTCCTCTGTCTATCGGTCATAACTGATAGCCTTCAAGGGACCCTTTCAGGTACAAACTCCACTCGAATCAGTTTAGCTCTGATGTGAAAAAACTGTTTGGTAATTTCGAAATTTGTGATATACGAAGTATATTTGAGTGTTTTGTAGGGATTAATCTATGTTTATAAAACGAAGAGACATCATTAATCTATGATTTATTTTCCTTATTATTACTGTAATTATGTGTATATTTCCATCATTTGCAATGGAGCCAAAGATTCATTATTTTTTGGCTTGAGATTATGATGGAATAAAGCAAAATGACTCACTAAACTGTTTGCGCTTCTTTGTTATGGAGCAGCAGCCAGTCCATGCAATTTTGGACGCGATTTTCACTATGAGTCATCCGGAAACAGTCTCTCTGTGCTTTAGTACAGGGTTAGGACTGCGTACATCCGACCCCCCTTACCCCACCGTAGGTGGGAGCCTTTGCGGCACTGGGGTAAATGAAAATGATGAAAATGATGATTACTGTAATTATGTGTCTTTAGTGCTTCAGGTTGTATTCAATAGCTGCTGTCTTTTCAGTTCTCAATCATTTATGTTTAGTATTTAGACACCCACCTAGGGTACTGAATAGACTCTCTCAGGATTCCTATTTGTATAAATAGCTTCTATACTTCTTGTAAATGAATTCATGGAAATAATATTCAGAAAACTTCATGGTATCAGAGCTTGATCTCGTATCAGCCACTTCACTGTTAATCATCTTTCGAACAGTCTACTAGGGTGTCTCTCCCTGCCTTTCTGTTTAATCGTGTGGTGCCCATCTCTTCACCAACGGTTTTATCATGTCTAAGGAAACTGAATCAAGTAACCTTGATCACTCAACCATTGTTTCAGCTGCTACTGCAGCCGCGTTTGCTCTTCGAAACCAGAAATTTGATCTCCCTTCTATCCCGCCATCTTACCATCTCAATGGCAAGAACTATCTTGGATGGTCAAAGCTGGTTTACACTCTCCTACGTGGCAAAGATCTTGAAGACTATCTCACTGTCTCTACCCCAGAAGAAGGAGAGATTGATGCTTCTATTTGGGAGAAAACTAATGCCAACATACGGGTCTGGTTATGGGACTCTATGGATCCCAACATTAGCAGTACATGTTTATACATGGACTCGGCCAAAGAAATATGGGATTTCATACAGCAGTCCTACTCTGTTGCTAAAGATGGCGCTTTTGTCTATGACTTATGGCTCAAAACAACGAATCTTAAGCAAGATTCACAGTCTGTCACAGATTATGCAACTGACCTCCAACGACGATGGTCTTAACTTGACCAGTATCAAACGATGAAGTGGTCGAATGCTGTAGATGCAGCTCTTCACAAGAACTATATAAATCAGCAACGTCTATATTGCTTCTTGTCTGGTTTAAATCCCGAATATGATCAGACTCGGGGTCAAATTCTTGGCATTACTCCTCTGTCTTCCGATGTTAAGGAAACTAAGGGTAGTAAGGGAGGAAGATGGTGTGATCATTGCAAGCGGTCCAACCATAATGTGGATACATGCTGGAAACTTTATCCACATCTACAGAAAGAAAAAGCCAGGATAGACGTGGAACTAGTGTTCATTGTTGAGAGCTCTACTAATCTTTCGCCCATTTCCCAGGAGGAATTACAGCAACTTCGTATGATGTTACAGTCTCTTAATAACTCAAATGGTTCTGGTCATAGCTCTTTGGTCCTGCAAGGTAAAACCTCTACTATTTTTTGTCTTAATGCTTCAGAACAGAGTTCACAATCCCAATGGATATTAGACTCAGGTGCCACATCTCATATGACTGCCATACCCTCTTTACTCTCTAATTATCATCCATGTTTTACATCCACACACATTACTACTGCTGATGGGACACCTACAAAGGTTGCGGGACTTGGTACGGTTGTTTTTTCTGAAAAATTAAATCTGAAAAACACCCTACATGTCCCAAACCTGACTATGAACCTTGCTTCTATTTACAAACTCACAGTTGATCTTAATTGTGCTGCCATTTTTTTCCCTTCCCACTGTTTATTACAGGATCTACACACGGGGAGGACGATTGGAATTGCTAAACAAAGAGATGGCCTGTACTACCTTGATGCACTGTTTGTCTCCAAACCTCCACAAAAAGCTCTTACCACAATCACAACCAATACCAACACTATTTGGCTTCACCACAAGCGCCTTGGTCATCCCTCTTTTCATGTCCTAAAAACCATGCTTCCTAGTCTTTTTAGTAGTATTGATGTTTCTACATTTCAATGTGATGTCTGTGAACTTGCTAAACAGTCTCATGTATCTTTTTCTAGAAGTAATACAATCAGTTGTTCTCCTTTTGATATTATACATAGTGATGTCTGGGTCCTGCTCCAATTGCTAATATATCTGGTGCCTGGTGGTATGTTACATTTATTGATGATTGTACACGTTTTATGTGATTTTTCTGCTAAAAACAAGAGTGAGGTGAGTTCCATCATTCCTATCTTTTGCAATATGATTCATAATCAGTTCTCCGCCACTATAAAACGCTTCCGCACTGATAATGCTCTTGAATACTTCAATCAAACTGTTTCCTCTTATTTCCTCTCAAAAGGCATTGTTCATGAGTACTCTTGTTCGTACACACCACAACAGAATGGCACAGTAGAAAGAAAAAATCGCCATCTCCTAGAAGTCAGTCGGGCTTTATTATTCCAATCAAAAATGCCTAAACACTATTGGGGGGAAGCCACACTCACAGCATGTCATCTCATCAATAAAATTCCTAGTCGGGTACTCCAAAATAAGTCACCCCTTGAATCTCTCTGTCACTTCTTTCCTCAAACCAGAATTTCTTCTGATCCTGATCTAAGGGTGTTTGGGTGTACTGCATTTGTTAATATTCCTCCACCTCATAGGGGAAAATTGGACCCACGATCTATTAAGTGTATCTTTCTTGGTTATTCTCCAACTCAGAAAGGATATAAGTGCTATAATCCTACAACCAGAAAGACATACACCTGTGCAGATGTGACCTTTCACGAAGACACACCTTTTTACACTCCTACTTCTCTCCCTGTATCCCAAGATACTCCACATCCTTCACCTATGCCCACCTATACTATTACATCTTCTCCACCACATACAATTGAATTAATTCCACTTTAGGTCCTCCGAGTTTTGTGTCATTTCCATATTTAGTCCTCGTCTTTCACTTTATCCATTTTTGGTACCTTACTATTGTTTTCTTGACCATTTGTGTATTTCTGAGCATTTTTACTATCGTAAAAGGACTATATATGGTCAAGAAAACAATAGTCAGGTACCAAAAATGGATAAAATGAAAGACGAGGACTAATTGTGGAATTGGTGCAAAACTCGAAGGACCATAAGTGGAATTTCTTCCATACAATCTCCTACCCTCCTAAGCCTTTATCACCAGACATCCCATCACCACCACCACATGATCATCCATCACCTTCCTTAGATGTGTCAGCAACCTCACCTACTTCCCAACAATCTTCAACATCACCTGAACCTCAATCAAATCCACCACCAGACCATCCCATTCCTACACCTACTAAATCCACCACTCATGAACCATCTTCTCCTCTACGAGTGACAAAAGTGTGCTCAAGGAAAAACAGGTTCACTCCATTGTTGACGCATGACCAATTGGCTGACCCAGGTAATGTCTCTTCTTCTCCACCACCATCTCCGCCAATTGCTTTACGCAAGGGTGTACGTCAATCTACCAAAACACCTCTATACCCTCTTGCTAATTTTGTTACCATTGATAACTTCTCTCCTTCACATGCCTTGTTTGTTCAGAGACTTAATGAAATTCCCATACCCAACTCTGTTTCTGAGGCATTAGGAAAGAAAGAATGGAGGGATGCTATGCAAGAGGAAATTAGAGCTCTTGAAAAGAACCATACTTGGGATATTGTGACTAAATCTCCTGGGAGGCATGTTGTTGGTTGCAGGTGGATATTTACCGTCAAATACAAGGCTGATGGATCTCTTGAGCGGTACAAAGCTCGTCTTGTTGCTAAAGGATACACTCAGACGTATGAGATTGACTATTAAGAGACCTTTGCTCCTGTAGCTAAGCTCAATACTGTTCGTATCGTACTATCCTTGGCATCTCACTTTGATTGGCCTTTATTGCAATTTGATGTCAAGAATGCTTTTCTCCACGGTGACTTGCATGATGAGATCTACATGTACATTCCCCCAGGCTTTAATAAAACATCAACAAGTACCTCTACACATGTATGCCATTTAAAAAAAGCCCTCTATGGTCTCAAGCAATCCCCTCGTGCTTGGTTTGACCGCTTCACACAGGTTGTTCTTGCTGCTGGGTGTAGTCAAAGCCAAGGGAATCATACTCTTTTTTACAAACACTCTCGCCCAAATGGAGTCACTATTCTTTTAGTATATGTGGATGACATCATTGTGACGGGTAATGATCCAGTTGAGAAACAACGTCTTGAGGGGCAGCTGAAATCCAAATTCGAGATGAAGTCTCTTGGCCCTCTAAAATACTTTTTTGGAATTGAAGTTGCTCGCTCATCTGAAGGCATCTTTATCGGCCAACAAAAGTACAGTACATTACAGATTTGTTTAATGAGACTGGTAAGAGTGCTTGTCGACCGGTTAATGCACCTATGGATCCTAATCATAAGCTTGGACTTGCTACTGATGAACCCAAGGTTGATTCATCAATGTATCAGCGCTTGTGTGGCAAACTTATCTCTCTCTCTCATACTAGACTTGACATTGCCTATGCAGTTAGTGTTTTGAGTCAATTCATGCATGATCCAAGGAAACCACATCTAGAAGCATATAGGGTTCTTCACTACCTAAAAGGAAGTTCAGGACAAGGGATAATATTCAGGAAGGGTGGGCAATTATCAATCCAAGCGTTCACCGATGCAGATTATGATGGCTCCCTCGTTGACCGCTGGTCAACTACTGGTCTCTGTGTTTTGCATTTTCCTATCAGGAAACCTCGTGACATGGAGAAGCAAAAAACAGAATGTTGTGGCACGATCATCTGCTGAATCTGAGCTAAGAGCTCTTGCCCATGGCTTATGTGAACTTCTATGGATCAAAATTATTCTCTTAGATTTATGAATCAAGTGGAAAGGACCAATGGAATTGAGGTGTGATAACAAATCAGCAATCAACATAGCTCATAATCCAATCCAACATGATCGGACCAAGCATATTGAGATTGATAGGCACTTTATCAAAGAAAAGGTTGAAGGAGGTCTGATCGAACTAAGCTACACTTCCTCAGAAGATCAAGTTGCAGATGTGTTTACCAAACCTCTGCACAGTCCTAGGTTTCAGGGTCTTATTGTCAAGCTAGGCATGACGGATATCTACAAACCTAGCTTGAGGGGGAGTGTTGATAAAACGAAGAGACATCATTAATCTAGATTTATTTTCCTTATTATTACTGTAATTATGTGTCTTTAGTGATTCAGGTTGTATTTAATAGCTGCTGTCTTTTCAGTTCTCAATCATTTATGTTTAGTATTTAGATAGTCACCTACTCACCTAGGGTACTGAATAGACTCTCTCAGGATTCCTATTTGTATAAATAGCTTCTGTACTTCTTGTAAATGAATTCATGGAAATAATATTCAGAAAACTTCAGTCAAACAATACGCAAGGATGGAAATATCCTGATATTTACATCAAAATTTCATATTTTAGGGTCACAAAAATTGACACCAGGGGTAACAGAACTATTTTAGCATTTTGAAGAAAAGTTGAAAATTATCAACAAATATTGAAAAATACAAACATTTCAATAGCTATAGAAAAAATAACGAAAAATATAAGTGATCTCATTCTCTTTTTCCAAAAAAAAAAAACAAGAAAAGACTAACAAAACGTCGTTTTTTCCTTCCAGAAATTGTTCGATATTGATATTGAAATATCGAATAATATATTCATAAATTCAAAGTACCATTAGATCCATAAATACGATATTTTCGTTGCATATATGCATATATACTCACGATATTATAAAATTGTAAGATCCTCTCCCGTTATACGAAATTGTAGCATCGTTTGGCATCGATATCATTGATCGATTCATGTTAGCCGACTCCAAATTCTTTTGGGATTAAGGCTTGGATGCTTTTTATCCTCTCCCGTCCGAATACTAATAAATTAATACTCCGCATCATCATCATCATCATCATTATTATTATTATTAAATTGGAAGATTAAAATATTATTATTTAAACCTTCCATCCAAACAAATCCTAGAGGTCTTTTATAGTCGTGTGTTTCCAGTCACACCACCCAAAGAAAGAATTACCAAAGAGAGTTTTGAGATAAAGCAAAAAAACAGTGGCTTAAAAGTCACAACTATGCCAACCAGACCCTAACCTTTGATCCCTAACCAGTCTCGGTTGTGTAACTGTAAGGGTGATTTTTTTTTGTATACTGCTCCTGGCTTGTGATAGGAACCAGCGATTTCAGAGCATATTAGAAGAAATATTTGTATATTAATTCTCTAAGATAAGTATCCAGAATCCACTGGGAGATTACAGTAGAATGCGGAAGAAAACGAAGATGAACACTAGAAATCGATAACGAGACAATTTCGAGAGTCTCTCTCTCTCCCAAGTCCAGAGCCTAATCCAAATACCCAATTTCTGTTTGCCTTTATTCTATTCTCAGCTCCTATTTATACTCCCTCCGTTTCTGAAACAAGTTCCACCTTTCCTTTTCGGGCAGATTCAAAATTAAGTTCTACTTTCAAATATTTCCTTATTTGGCAAATTATCTACATCAAAACATTGTCAAACAGTGTTCAAACAGTGTCAAACAGTGCTCAAACAGTGCCAAACAGTGCACTCCACAGTAAAGTCAAATTTATTTTCTTAATATGTGTGAAGTCAAATGTTGAACTTGTTTCAGAAACGGAGGGAGTAATACTTTGTTTACGGGCAGGCTCATAACTAAATAATACCAGGTCTAGACCCCCTTTAACATAATAACAAACTATGTAACATTATTTTATTATTATTATACTAATAGGTTCCTATCATCTCCCCCCTTAGACAACCACCTTGTCCTCAAGTTGGGTGATAGGAACAACCTTAACTTTCGACTTCATCTTCATCGTGACACCTCTTCCTTCTCAATACGTCACGGATTTCTGGACCATGATCTTCATTACTTGACCCTTCATCACCCCTTTTGAACAAAGTTGTCCACCACTCGGTTTAACCAGACTCTCTTCAGAAAGAGGTATGCTGTCACTCTGGAGAACATAATGATTGTTCTCTTGCTCAGGTTTCCCGGAAGACCAGCATTTATGTTCTCATAAAATTGCAACTCTCTGGGGTTTGTCGGTATGAAAAAGGAATAGAGTTCATTGCTTTTCATATCATAAATAATTGGTTTAGTGCGGGAATACAAAAAGTAACGAAAGGTTTGAGACTCTTCGAGTGACCTCACACTCCCAATTGGCTTATTTGGCAAACAAATCTACACCAAACAGTGCCAAACAGTGCCAAACAGTGTACTCTACAGTAAAGTCAAATTTATTTTCTTAAAAACTGTGAAGTCAAAGTGTAAACATCTTTCAGAACCGGAGGGAGTATGAATTAACGTGTGAAATAATAATTAATCTCAGACGTCCAAATTGTCAATCTGATGCACACACACATTAACCCTTATCTAATGTACTTTTCGAATAAACATTATATGATGCACTTTTCGAATAACCTTATCTGGTGCACTTTTCCGACATCTAGATGTAGTGGCATTTTTGTAAATATCGGAAAAGTGCATCAGATAAAGTTTATTGTGCATTATATTGATTCTTTGGACACCTGAGATTAATTCTTGTTTTACACATTAAGACCTTTTTTATTTGATCCAAACTCTCTCTGTATATATGACAATGATCGTGGGAGCTATATATAATAGGTGTTGCTCGAGGGTGTGGGTTGCAGCATATAGGAGCGTTAGTCAACCTGGCTTCATTCTATCTATGTGGAATTCCAATTGCTGCATCATTGGCTTTCTGGTTTCACGTGAGAGGAAAGGGTCTTTGGATTGGAGTTATGTGTGGTTCTGTTATGCAGACGGTTATGCTATCCATAATAACAAGTTGCATAAATTGGAACAAACAGGTACCTAGTGGCAACCTTAATTAGCCTAAACCATGAAAATGAGGTTGTGGGATAGTAAAGATTGGTGTACATTTTTGTGGTACATCCTTTGTATACATTCCTATGTGACTGGCATCATTTGGATGATATAAAGTTCTCTAACTTTTCAATATCCAATACATTCATGCCACATAAGAATGCATCTATATAATGTACCAAAAAATGTCTATTTAGTATTGTTGCTCAATTTATTCTGGTTTTTTTTTTGTGTTGGCACGCGCTGACGCTTAATATAATATTTTGGCGGGTTGGTTTTGGCTTTGCAGGCGGCTAAGGCAAGGGGGAGACTTTTTCAGTAAAAGTAGTATCTTGATGAGCCACCCAAGTGGATGAGAAGTTAATTATCTAATTAGTTTTGAGTTCCATTTTTTCTTGTCATTTTTCGTTTATAACTAATTGAAGACCACTTCTACAGTTCTACATGTACAATGCCCCCACGAAGGAGCCAGCAATTCTCTAGTCTCAATTTGATCATTTCCCCTACTAATATATGATGGTTAAAAATGAATATTTTCATGTGTTAAAAAGAGAACAATTGATTGACTGTACAATATATATTAAAATATATATATGCGATTTAAAATATTAAATACCAAATATTAATGCGACATATATTCATTTCCCCTACAAATAATATTAATATATATATATATATGCTATTTAAGAGAACTCAGAATATATATGAGATTTAAGAGAACTCAGAATATATATTCATTTCCCCTACAAATAGTCTCTCCATTTGGTTGGGATTTAAAAATACTCCCTCCGTCCCCAATTTGTTTTGCAAAGTCAACATTTTTTGGTCAACAAATATTAAAAGTCAACCCTCCCTATGGATAATCAATTCAATTTTTAATAATTAAAATTTATATATTCAAAAACTACATGAAAATCTCTTCAAAGTTGTAAACTCCAAATTAGAAAATAATTAAAAATTGACATCCTAATTAAGTGAATAAAACGAGATTGTTTGACTAAGAAAAGTCAAATTTGCAACTCTTTTTGGGACGGAGGTAGTATATACTTCGTATATGCGACATAAAATATTAAAAAAAGTGAGTTGATAATAATACCAAATTTATACATCTCATTTTCCTAGACCACTACATGTAAATTGTCACTTTCAAAGAGTTTGATTTTGATTGAATCAAATTATTAAGTAAAAGAAATAAAGACCCACATATCACTAAAAGACTCTTGAATTTCAAATATATGAGTCCTTTCATATTTTTCAAAATATGACTCATCCTCCTAATGGGCCTTCCCAGAACACCACACATTTTCGTCGCCTTCACCAGAACTCCGCAGCCCTCTGCCTACGTGAGATTAGATCTCCGCACATGCGGTTGTCTTCACGATATCTTCTCTGCTCCAAATTGTTTTCATGCTTCTCTCTTGAGACAAAGTCTGTGAGAATACGTAGCCTCCTACGCCATGAGACGGAGCCACCGACGTCGTGAGATTGAGCCACCGACGTTGTTGCACTTCTTGTCGTCGTAGCCGCTTGCGTTTTTTGACATAGTCGATGTCGTCTCTTCTTTTTCTCTCTTTTTCTGATACACCTCAAATTGAAGGACCATACGGTATGAAATTGCGACCACTAAGCGGCCAGATCTGGCGGAGGACGGCGGCTAGGGTTCATTGTCGGGTGGTCGGGGTTGGGTTGGGTTGTCAAAGGTGGCGCTGGGAGGGGTGGATTGGGGCTGGTTAGGGTGGTCGGATTTGGTGTGCGACAGTGATTGGGTGGCTGAAGATGCCTGAGTTCGTCGTCAGTAGAATAAGATCTGTTTGGATGGAAGTGACAGAAAAGAGGGTGGCTCGAGCTGGGAGGGGACTGGGGAGCCAAGTCAGGGTGCGACCGATCGGAATGGTGGCCACGACTATGGCGGGGAGGTACAGTGGAGAGGGCGCTGGTGTGAGCACTAGACGTCGGTGTTGGGGTAGCGGGCCTGGTAATGATTAATGGGTTTGGGAGGCTAGGCGTGGGGATGGGTAGAGCGGTCTAGGGAGGAGACAGAAGTAGTGGTGGGATGGCCGCTGGGTGGCAGACGGCGTTGTTGGATGGTCATTAGTCAGTCGTGGAGGTCACTATGTCACCGGAAATTATTCGTCGTGACATCTTGACATAAAAACAGTAGTGGCAACAGAAATCTGGTATTGACATATGACAGTGACGAAAATTTGACAGTGACATAAAAAATTATATCATGTTTTTCTAAATATATGATCTTCTTAGTCACTTTTTGTCCTTTTGTAAAAATGATCCCATTTTTGTCACTTTTTGTCCTTTTGTAATATTAAAGGAAAATGCCCTTAATAAAAATTGGGGTGTACTAATTATTAAATTAATAATATTATTTATGTTAAAATTATAATTATAATATCCCATTTGGAGTAATTGAAAAGATGGATTGGGTTCCAGATTTCTAAACAACTAGGCTCACAAAATACGCAAATTATACCCTACGACCGGTCTACCATCCGCATGGTATACCGGTCGTAAACGGCGTCGTTTTGCTTATTAATAAATTAGATTAGCTCTTTTCATTAATCGAACCTGCAGCTCATGGATAACTGATTTCTCTCCGCTCTGCGATCCCTTCGATTCGTTTCTAAGGTTCTTAGATGGATTTTTCTGTCGACGATTCTACTCTTTTTGCTTCTGATACACACGATAACATTAATCATTCAATTGATGATAATGATTTCGAAGTTGATCAGCTGGTTGATGTTGAATTGATTGGTAAGTATAAATTTTTCGTGTTTTATGAATTGATCAGCTGGTTTATGTTTTATGAATTTTTCATGTTTTTCGAAGTTGATCATGTTCTCTGTTTTATACCATTGCTTGAGAATTTCGATTGTATGAGTATTCATAGTTTTGATTTTATGTTCAGGAGAAGAAGATACTATTTCAAAAGCTTCTAAATTGTTATATCTTCTTAGCAGAGGTATTTATTCTGTCATGTAACTTCATTTCATTTTGGTTGTAATTCCGTTCGATGGTATTTAACTCGCGTCTCAATTGTATGTAACTTGTGTTCTCGGATATGTAACTGTTGTTTTATTTAATGTAACATTGTGACAGTATGTAGTTGTTGATTGTTTTTCATATATATGCTTTATAAATTGGCAGATTCATTGGAAAATGTTCACCAGTCAACTGAGAGTAAATCACTTGTTGGGCTTAGTGTCAATTGTGAACAGGATGCTTACAAACTTTACAATGATCATGCTTTTGAAAATGGATTTGGTATTCGTAGATGCAGACAGAGGTTTAGGAGTGAGAATGTAAGTTTGACTATGAAGTCTTATTGTTGTTGGAAAGAAGGGAAGAAACTACAAAAGGGCACCGAAAACAAAATGTATACCAAGTTAGATTATCGTACTGGTTGTAAAGCGATGTTACAGTTTTCTATCAGTAGTGATGGTGAATGGACTGTCTCAAAGCATATTATTGATCACAACCACGCTTTCTGTGCAATTGGTCAAAGACACCTGCTGAAATCACATAGAGGCGTTGATCATGAGTATCTTGAATTTATTATGTTGATGAAGGAGAGTGGAACAAAGGTTTCAGATGTTCACAGGATGCTTCAAAAACAGGCTGGTGGTGTTAGTGCTCTTGGATTCACGAAACGTGATGCTTATAACGTTCTAGAATCTGAAAGAAGTAAAACGTTTGATGGTACTGATTCGAACACTTTGATTGGTATATTTAAGAAAAAGGCTGAAGTGGAATGTGATTTTTTCTTTGATTTTGAGTTGGTTGATGGTATACTGACTTGTTTTTTCTGGAGAGATGGTCAAATGAGATCTGATTATGAGAGGTTTGGAGATCTTGTTGTGCATGATACAACTTACAGGACTAACAAGTATGATATGATCTGTGGTCCATTTATTGGTATGAATCACCACTGTAAAAATATAATGTTTGGTTGTGGCTTTATTCTAAATGAAAGGGTGGAGTCTTTTGTTTGGTTATTTCAGACTTTTCTGAAATCTATGGGTGGTAAACACCCCATCAGTTTCATGACAGACCAGTCATTTTCCATGGCAACGGCTATCAAATCTGTATTTCCTGGGGTGAGACATAGACTCTGCACTTGGCATATAGATGAGAATTCAAAGAAACACATCATGCATCTACGCAAGAAGATAAATTTTGTTTCTCTTTTTGATTATGTTGTCAAACGATGTGATACTGTTGCAGAGTTTGATTTCTATTGGAATGAGTAAGTTATTGTTATCTGATGTAACTTCGTGATTATTTTATGTAACTTTTTCAATCATTTGGTGTAACATATATATCTTCATATGTAATCTTGTCTTCTTTTCAAATCTGTTTCAGATTGAATACAGTTTATGAATGCAGTGACAACACATGGTTGAAGAGGCTGTACAGTCATAAAGAAAAGTGGTGTCCTTCTTTTTCGAAGGATTACTTCTCTGGTGGTGTTTTATCCTCTCAAAGAAGTGAATCTACAAATAGATCTATATCTAGAAGACTTACCAAGACTGCAACATTATGTGATTTTTACAAAATGTTTTGTGATGTTGTTGATGAATGGAGGTTAGATGAGAATGGTCATGATTTTAGATGTTCTGAAGGCACCGTTGAGATGGTATTGCTACAAGACACTTTGTTGACTCATGCGAGAGATGTGTATACCCTTGAGATTTTCAAAGTGTTCCAAGAACAATATTTGAAGGGTATGTCACATTTTTTAAATTAATCTCACAGAATTGTCATGACTATGTGTATCATGTTTGGTTGAATGGGGTAGATATGATTAGACACAGTGTTACTTTTAATCGGCATGACAACACAGTGACATGCACTTGTAAGATGTTTTCTGAAGTTGGCATTTTTTGTAGACACATTTTGCGTATATATAATGTGCATTGTGTCAAATGTATTCCCCAAGTTTATATACTCTCTAGATGGACAAAGGCTGCCATTCTGCCAAATGTTAATCTTTCTGTTACGCACGGAACCGATATTATGTCTGGCAAAATATTGGAAGATTCTGTTTGGAGAGTGCAAATGACTAGGAAATTCAACTCAGTATTGAGTGCAAGTGCTGGTTTTCCTGAAGCTAGACGAGTATGTGATCAAGGATACGAGTCTATTAAACATTTTTTAGATGCACAAAGAGATGCTTCTGTTGTGGATGAATCTGCTTCTAGGACAATATTGGATCCTCCACGGTCTCGTTCTAAAGGTCAGCGAAATACCCGAAAGAGAAGTATTGTTGAGAAACAGTGCAAAATAGTCAAAGCTCGCCGTTCGAAATCCCAAAATGTTGCCTCCAATTCAAAAGCAGTTGCTCAATCTATTGTACAGGTATTTGTTTATTTTTTTTATGTATTTTATGCATATTTTCTTATCATTAATTTTTGTTTTGTTTGATTGTAGGACACTGTTAATTTCATGGTTCCACAAGGTTATGTACTTGCTCATCCAATTGGAGGAATGACGTCTTTAATGCATGTGTCTGGATCTCCACAAGTTTTTGCTCCATACTTCATGCAATCCAATGTTTTGAACCAAATGCAGAATTAGTTATAGTCACACATGTTTGGAAAACCAAATGCTTTGAGGAGTTTACATATCATATTGTGAACTTTTACTTTTGTTGCAACTTGAGTTACATTTGATTTTATAGAATTTATATTGTCTTTACAGTTTGTTTACATGTCATACAGCATTGCCATAAATACAATACGCAATCAAGTTTGTTTACATTTATTTAGATTACAGAATGTAATCTGTGCAGTCACAGCTCAGTAACAGTAGTTACATTGTTTTTCCCTTCAGTTACATAGTTCTTTAACGTGACTTACATTTGTTGTACTCATTGTTTACATCAGATGTGTATTACTTGATTAGCTAATGCAAGGGTACATAAGTTATATAAAGTGAGAAGAACGCTTTAGGTGAGAAGTGAGAATGAATCTCAGCCGTTGGATTCGACATAAAACATATAAAACAAACTAGTTTACATCAACTTATCATAATCCAACATATAAGTTTTCCACATACTAAACAGATAACTTTTGAGGTGCATTACAAGCTACTGCATAAAACCAAGAAATGTCTAAAACCCATACCACTGCATTACAAGCTACTGCATACAAACAGATAACTACTGCATAACCCATACCACCACACCCTCCATAAAACCATGAAATGTTTTGGCCGTAACCCCATCATATTAATTAATTACATCTTCAAGTAGTCTTTTGCTTTTTTCAAAATGTTTTCCCTTTCTTTGTTAAATTTTGACAGTAAAACTTGAGCTGCATACATCACTCTCATCTTTTGGATTGTTTCATTTTGAGCTTTTATTCCATCATTTGTGGCAGCAGTTGCAAATCCAGAATCCCATACATGTCCTTGCCCACGAAACGTCTCCAAGTGACGCAAAGTATATACTCCACAGTCAACGTGATTGCTATTATGTCTCCATGGCATGTATAAGATTCTGGGGACCCAACTTGTTGTGCTTGAAATCTGCACTTTCTCACAGAAGGCTTTGAATCCTTCATGCTATACAAGAAGTAACATTAATGAATTAAAATAATATGGAATAATATGATTTCTTATTTCCAAAAACATTGTATTGAATTTTTACCATTTTTTTCAAAGTTTTGCCATATTTGTCCTCAACGCTCACCCCATCTGGAAGCATCCGGTTGTCAATTACATCAACAATGTTGTTTGTTGTGTAAAAGTAGTAGATATAATAGTGCTCATGATTGTGAATGGGAAACAGTATCTACATTATTATAAATTCATCTTCAGTTACATAAAATAATACAGAATCTACATAATTCATATCAGAACTTACATCCCTCAGCTCTGTAGTTACATACTACGGTATTATTTTTCACCCTTTGTTTTAAAAACATTTTTAACAATATATCTTATACACCGACTTACATAAAACAATAGAGTTTACATAATTCATATAAGAACTTACATTAGTCAAACGCTGCAGTTACATATTATGCTAAACATGTTCTATTACTAATATTGTTTCACACTGATTTACATTTAAGAATATATATATAAGGATTACCAAATTTGACTTGTGTTTTTACACTTGAATTATGTAAAATTAAATATTAATGACATTTTACCATATCTAATTTTGTGACATCTGCTGCAGCATCATTTATTTCTTTTTGCAATCTATCAACCATATTTTCTATTGGGTCACCAGATGCAAAATCAAACATTGCCTGCACATTCAAATTGAGTCACTCTTAGGAAAATATAGAAACTGAAGTTCTCTACTTTATTTTACAATTTTACAAGAAAAAAATATACATACATATACTTGGGTTGACGCAATGAAGGCACGCTTTGTAGACTTATTTGATTCTTCTCTGTCATTCAGAATCTTAGTGAATGCATCAATTATTGAGTTGTCTACATTTCCTTCTTGAAGTGTCTGAATTTCTTCATGAGTTATAAACACACCTTCCTCATCTAGATAGACACAGTCTCTAACAGAATAATATTTTTCAAACAAATTGAAACAATTAATTATCAAATGGTGTTTATATTGAAATAATACATTATATAATATTAGTTTTTCTTACTTTTCAACTTCTTTTGAGAATCCCCAATCAAGAACAATCTTTTCATCTCTGCTAAATTCCTTGCATAGCCTTCTATTATTCTTCAGAAAAGGTGATCTGTAATTGACAATTGAATCACCTAACTTTCGAAGCTTTCTCTTTCTGGTATATGGCTTTAGACCAACACTCCTTTGTAAAAAAATAATATAATGTTAAGTTTATTTTATTAGTTAAAAGTATTGATGAATTACATAAGAAAAAAATAAAGCTTACTCTGACTTATTATCAATTTCCTTGTTTACTTCTCCATCATCTCCAGTCACTTCTTCCTCAACAGCCATTTGAGCCACTTCAGCCACTTCAACATTACCATTCACTTCTCCATCAACAGAAACAGTTTCAGTCATTCCAGCAATGGTGTCAATCATCACATCTTCCACTCCATCAACAGTTTCAGTCATCACATCTTGTACATCAGGAGCAGTTTCAGTCTTCGCAGCTTCTACATCCACTTTTGATGTGCCTTCACCCTGTGACATGTTAAACTCAATTCCTATGTCAAATGAAGGCATTGAAAATTTCAGGAATGCTGCTTTCTCTAGTTTCTCAAGGGCTTCCATAACTCCAGGCTCATTAAAGAAGTCATCATCTTCCTCAAGGACACACTTCTCTGATAATCGTTGAGTTCCTTTTGCTTGATTTCCATTTGCTTGATTGATGAAGTAATCAGCTTTGCTTGATTGATGAAGTAATCAGCTGTGGTCAAGTATATCTTCTTCAAGATATCAGAATTGGGGAACTTTTTTGCAATGGTTGACGGCAACTTTGAGAATTCCACAAAAGCATCACTAAACTTTTGTGCCACAGCTATAATCTCCTTCACACAATCCTATAAAAATTATAATAATAGTTGTTTAATAATACATAAGATACATAGTTATTGAATTAAGATTACAGGCTCCTTGGAAAAATCCTATAGTTATGTAACAATTGATTTAAGTTACATAAAATAGTCTTTAAGATCACAAAGTGTTGTATTAAAATTTACCTCCTTTGACAACATTTCAGCATCTTCATTTTCTTCATCTTCTTTTCCTGCTTCCTCTTCATCTTTGTCTTCCTCTTCGACTGTTATTATTCGCTTTGTCACCTTTCCCAGACCAAAGCCCACCTTTCTCTCATCTTTGACTCTTTTGTCAATTCTCTCCTTGTCCCAGATTCTAATGGTTGGATAAGCACTCTGCATAATTTGGCCTTTGAATTGTACTCGGTCAAAGTAACATATCATTAGAAACGGTAATGGTCCACTGAACATCTTTGATTGATTAGTTTGCCATTCCTCGCCTGCATCCATCAACGATCTTATTGTGTAGTTGCACCAATTCATGTTTGGTATATCAACTACATTAACCAAAGACATCAATATTTTAAAATTGCTGTTAACACTCTGGTTTCCTCTGATCAGGCAAGAGACTGTAAAGACCACAAAGTTTCTGATGAATCTGTCTCCAGAGTCAGTATCTGCAACTATTTTTTCAATCATTTTTTATGTTTGAGGGCTTCCTTTATCAATCCCCCATTCTTCTCTCCATTCTTGTAGCAGTTGGGTATACTCTTCAGTTTCATTCTTCGCATTCGCTTCTTGAACTTCTATCTTTCCCTTTGGCAGACCAAATACAGCTTTGACATCTTCATCTTCAATATGTAGCAGCTCACCATTGGCAAGTTGTAGCTGTCCTGAAATTGGTCTAAAGTTCTTCAACAAAAACTGTAATACTCCAAAATTTTAAATAAAATAAAAATGGAAATAAATACTTGCACAAAATAAATTAACTATATAAAATGTCGGCTTTAATTAAATAACATTCTTAAGAATAATACAAAAATAATTGAAGAGTCTAAGACACACATGCATATAGATATAATATCATACACATATATACATCATACATAAGTACGTATAAATATATATACTAAGTACATATAATATCATAAGTACGTATAAATATATATACTAAGTATAAAATTACACATATACTTCATACAGACATAATTCACATATATATATATATATATATATATATATATATATATATATATATATATATATAATATATTACCATACGACACATATACATACATAACAAACATATAACACTACAATACCACATACATACATATAATATTACACACATACATATAATATGACACCCAAATACTTTGTTTATAAATAATATAAAACACACAACGACATATATGCATACACAGCTCATACCCCAGCAGACCATACCCACACATCATAGATTCGGATGATTCACCATAGCTTCGGATTATTCAGCAGACACCCGTTAAAAATCTAACAAAACCAGCCAAAAACAGTAAACTTACGTAAGCCTTGGCCGATCAAAATATGTGTATATATAAACAGGTTCCATCTCCTTTGTTCTATGCTAAAAAAAACGACCTCACAATAGCCATTTAGATACGTAAGGGAAAGAGAGGGAGAGGGAGCAGACCACTTCACGCCATCGTATAGGTCGCTAGCCGCCACTGACGAAGAAGAAGACCTACTGGATGACTACACTCCATAGCTCTAAACTACACCACTCCTTGTCTGAAGAAGTGGAAACGTCTGCCGTCGTCGCCGGAGGAAGCTTTTGTGAAGCTTGCGTCGCCGGCCGTTCTGCACAAAGAATAAGAACAACGATTATATCCAAGACTGAAATAGAAGAGTGCAAAAAGTGTTCCAATTCTAAGGTAAGTTCCATGTCAACCAAAACTATATTTCTACCTCGTAAATCTATGTGTCAATGTTACTTGTATTTATTTGAGTATTTGGTATCAAATTAAATTATGAGTATTTGGGTTTGAGCTATTTATGTTGTATTTCGTATTTTGAGTTATTTACATAGTATGTCATATTTTGAGCTATTTTGAGAAATCAGGTTTTAAAGATAAAATAGCCTTATTATTGGAATATTGGAATTTTATCTATCTATAAAAGATATTGGGTTTTGGAAAGAAGTAAAAATTATTTTTCATAATTGTGGGCATCACGAGAGAAACCCGTGGTGTCGGTCTCCTTCACGACCGTTAATTGTGAGAGGAGTGGTTAGGGGCTACTATTGCTTTTTGGTGGATTCAGTACTATTGTGGATTATTAATATCCGGTAAACATTCCGGTATTTTTGTGAGGACTTTAAAAGTCCTTTGGTGGTCGCAGTAGTAGTTTCCTAGTCACTCAGGGAGTATATCCCTTTGAGGAGTAGCTGGTATAAACTACCCGGGCTACTTGGGCTTCTTACTACCCGGAGGGCTTGGAATCCCTTTTAGGGGGTGTGCACACTTAAGATAGAAGTTCAGTTTCCAACAGGTGGTCGGTGGGAGCCGGAATTCCGGGATGAGTTGTAAATAACAACTCATTGGACTCAAGGAATCTTGAGTTTCGCCCATCTTTAAAAGAAACTTTAGAATCTGTGGAGAAAAGGCCAACTTTAGAATTCTTACTATTTTTCTAATATATACATATGATATGAGACATTGGATTATTTTTGAATACTCTATTGGTTATTATGACAATTATTTGATTTATAATATTCAGATATATATAATATTTCAATCTATAGTCTGCATATATACAAAATATAGATATTTTCTCCAAATTATATTATTTTGCGGGGTTGGGTGGAATCTTACTTAGCAAAAGCTAATTTTAGTTTCTTTTTGTTCTCTTTTCTCTGTGTAAATTTTCAGGTGATGAATATGACAAATGACGAACTTCGAGAGCGCAACTTAGAAAATCTAGAAATAAAAGTAATGTATAATATTGTAAATAATGAGCTAGAAACTCTTTACTTTTATTGAAGTTATATTTAATAATGGTGGATAGCCTTAGCATTCAGTTATAAAGGCTGAATGTGGCGGTGACACACCCATATTCTATGTTATATTCCGCTGCATAACTTTTGAATGTTTATTTTTAATAAACAAATTCTGTGATTCTAAGTATTATTTTGGGAAGGGAATTTGGGGGTGTTACAAAAACGCAACCAAATCTCCACAGAATCTGTCAAAGTTTAAATGCAGTAATCCCCCAAATCCGATCCTTTCAACTGCTGCTTTTTTTCTTTCATCTAATTGTTTAATCAACTTTATGAAAGGGGCTGGTCCTACTCTTGTTCTTAGGTTTACAGAAGGCGGCCTGTTGCTTGTCTCCACTTCTTCACATTCATCGTCTGATTCTTCAGATTCTGCTTTCTTCTTTTTGGGGGCTGCTTTTCTTTTTTTGCTTGTTGTTGGCTGATGATATTCTAGCCTTAGAATCGGTTCTTCTGTGTTCAGTATCCTTGCAGTTTCATTTTGATGTTCTGTATGCTGAGTTTCATTTTCAGGAGCTACAGCACTTCTTGTTCTCCTTATATACCACATGAGTTACATTTTTGTCACACACATTTGCCATAATAGTGAAATGAAGTTACATCATTCACAATCAGATGAACAATGTCATGTGGAGCACATGAGTTACATCTTTTTACACACAATTTACATAACAGTGAAAAGAAGTTACATCATTCACAATCAGATGAACAATGTCATGTGGAGCACATGAGTTACATCTTTTTACACACAATTTACATAACAGTGAAAAGAAGTTACATCATTCACAATCAGATGAACAATGTCATGTGGAGCACATGAGTTACATCTTTTTACACACAATTTACATAAAAGTGAAAAGAAGTTACATCATTCACAATCAGATGAACAATGTCACGTGGAGCACATGAGTTACATCTTGTCACACACAATTTACATAAAAGTGAAAAGAAGTTACATCATTCACAATCAGATGAACAATGTCATGTGGAGCACATGAGTTACATCTTTTTACACACAATTTACATAAAAGTGAAGAAGTTACATCATTCACAATCAGATGAACAATGTCATGTGGAGCACATGAGTTACATCTTGTCACACACAATTTACATAACAGTGAAAAGAAGTTACATCATTCACAATCAGATGAACAATGTCATGTGGAGCACATGAGTTACATCTTTTTACACACAATTTACATAAAAGTGAAAAGAAGTTACATCATTCACAATCAGATGAACAATGTCATGTGGAGCACATGAGTTACATCTTGTCACACACAATTTACATAAGAGTGAAAAGAAGTTACATCATTCACAATCATATGAACAATGTCATGTGGACTTGCTTACAGTCACAGACCAAGGCAGAGGATTTATGTATTATTATACACAAGTTACATAAAATTAATAAAGTTAATCTAGTATTAGTTTCAGTGACATGCAACACTATATCACAAAAAAATCAATGACAAACTAAGGCATAACAAACATATTGAGGTATGCAACACTATATTACCAAAAATTGTAGTTACATCGACAAATTCCTTATTATGCTCGATGACATATGAGCATTCGCACTTTGCTTATTCAAATTGAGACCACAATAAGACATAAATCACACTATTCAATACTCAATCTCTTTCGTTTTTGAGAGTGACTTACATGCATGTTAAAATTTATAGCAAATTAGCACATGAATCATATTGTTACATTCTCAGAGATACATTTTGAACTTCA